AGTAAATGTAGGGAGTGCTGACCCCATCAAGCAGCACCCTTACAGAGTTAACCCGGAGAAAGCAGCGGCGATGACAGCAGAAGTAAAGTATCTGCTAGATAACGACTTGGCAGAGGTTAGCGACAGTGACTGGAGTTCGCCGTGCCTACTCGTGAAGAAGAGTGATGGCACGTACCTGTTCTGCACCGATTATAGGAAACTGAATGCAGTCACAGTCGCTGACTCGTTCCCAATACCACGCATTGATGATTGCATAGATCGGATTAGGAGTGCACGGTATGTCTCGAAAATAGACCTGCTGAAGGGATACTACCAGATTCTCCTGTCAGAGGAGGCCAAGAAAATTTCAGCGTTCGTGACCCCCGACGGCTTGTACCAACATAAAGTGGTGCCGTTCGGAATGAAGAATAGTGGCAGCTGCTTTCAATGAGTAATGAATCAGGTATTACAAGGCGCGACCGGATGTGCAGTGTACATCGATGATATTGTGGTGTTCGCTGATTCCTGGAAGGATCACGTGGATCGACTTCTAGATTTGTTTGATCGATTGGAGAAGGCCAACATGACGATCAACTTAGCAAAAAGCGAGTTCGGGAGAGCCCGCCTGGAGTACCTTGGATATATAGTAGGGCAAAGCGAGGTTGCTCCAGTAAGAACAAAGGTGGAGGCCAATGACAAATTCCCGGTGCCCAGGAGTAAGAAAGAATTGTTGAGATACCTTGGTATGATTGGGTATTATCGGAGGTTCTGCGAATATTTCTCCACCATAGCCGCTCTTATGACGAGTTTGCTATTGAAGAGCAAAGTGGAATGGAACAGCACAAGAAGCGTTTGAAAAGACCAAAAGACTGTTGACCGAGGCGCCTGTACTAATGTCGCCAGATTTTGGAGTGCCGTTTACGTTATTTGTAGATGCCAGTGATATAGGGGCTGGAGCTGTGTTGATGCAGCAGAGTGATGGAATTTATCGACCTGTGTCCTCCTCCTCGAAGAAGTTCGTTAAGCACCAGAGGTCGTACAGTACGGTCGAGAAAGATACTTTGGCCCTGGTAATGGCATTGAAACATTTTGAAGTGTATGTGAGTGGGGGAGGACGCCCAGTGATGGTGTATACAGACCATAATCCCCTAGTTTTCCTGAGAAAAATGAAACATGCAAACCAGAGGTTAACCAGATGGATTTTATTGCTCCAAGAGTATGACCTGGTGATAACACACATACGAGGGAGAGACAATGTAGTAGCTGATGCGTTATCTCGAGCCTAGCCAACCTAACCTAAAGTAATACAACTAGAATAATCCTCAAAAAACAATGGGGAGGGAGTGTTATGATCCCAGGTAGCCGAAAAAAACGAGACTTCCCTTTGAGAATTATTCTATCAGGCCTGACCTGACTAGGTCTAGGAAATATAGAGGTGAAGATACATATGTAAAAAATTGGTTGGATTTGATAGACAATTTAAGATAATGGGCAGTGAATAAAAAAATAAGTAAATGACTTGACACAAGATGTAGAGAGTTTGGTGGTGTGAGGCTCGCTTGATAGGAGCTTAAGTCACTTAAGGCACAGACATCGTGAGGGGAAGCTGCGCTCGGTTTGAGCTCCCATTAGAGACGAACCAATAGTTGATATACCTTCAAGAGGAAGGAAGTGTGCAGACGTTCCAGCTGTGGAATCGAACTGGGAACGTGTGGTCTCAAGTCCTGGACGGCAAGGAGAGTTTGGTAAGCCGCCCAGAGACCTTATCGTGGGCCGTGGGAGCACCCTGGTCAGACTCCGTCAGAGGGAGAGCGCCCTGCAGGAGACATTTTTGTGGTGTGTCTGAGGAAAGAGTTGCTGAGAGAACTTCGAGGCCAGTAGAGGAGGATTCAGTGGATGGAATTCCAAGGCTATTGAAGAAATACTGAGCTCTGTGGAAGAGCAGTCCCTATAGTGAAGAGTTGGACCTCAAGCTGTGAGAAGAGAAGCAGTGGAGTAAAGTTCACATGCTTTTGTGATAGTGATAGTGCTTCACCAGTGGTGAAGCACCATTGTTGATCAAGGAAGACTTCATGGTGTAGCAGCCAGGAGAACTGTGGAGGACCCTGGTATAAAGGGTGAAGCCCCTGTGTTGGTCATGGAAGACTTCATGGCGTAGCAGCCTGGAAGAGCTGCGGAAGATCCTGGTAGATGAACCCAGAAGAACCTAAAGATATCAGGGTAGTGAACTTCCAGATGTGGAAAGGAAGTTCTTATTGACTAATTGTAGGGAGTTCGTAGGGTGTTTGGTTGACATTAGCCTGCAAGACGCAGTGAAAGGTGAGTGATTGACTACCATTCTTGTGCCAAAGGATATTTATACTGATGTATAGAGTTACAATCGTAGATTGGATTACCTGCAGAGACGTACATATGTGTTCTAGGTCTGATAGAGTGTTTGATTGAACATTGTTGTATATCAAGGAATATCGATGCTGATATCTATGTTAATATAGCCATAGGCTGAACTGCCTGCAAATATTTATATGTTCCAGAGTTGGTAGTGCCATATCATACTGTACTGCATGATTTACCGATTTGGTGAGGATGATAGTGCAACATTGTGTTATAAGACATGACCTACTTGATGAGGTTGGTAGTATTAGGTGGTGAGTCAGGAGTTAGGATACCACTTGATGAGCAGATGATAGAGTCCAGACGGTATTGGAGTGCAACCTGACCACAGTAGTATAGAGCGTTGGAGATATATATATTATTGTACGTCTATATGTATTGTCCATGTGCCTTGTCCAGTAAATGTATTTAAATTTGCTGGTGTTTGCCCTTGTCCTAGTGAGACTTCCCAGAAAGTAGGTAAGAGAGAGAGACAAAGAACCAAGAACCACAGCTGTGGACAGGGTAGAACGGAATAATAATAAGTCAAAGGGGATTGAGGAGAACATATCACATTAGGAGAGAGTGGGGAGTCACAGCGGCTCGAGTGGATGTGTACACGTGACAACGAGGCTATTGTTAGAGCCGCATCCCCTAAATGTGTGACGTTGAGCCCATCTCCAAGTGCCAGAAGCGCCCAGGGTGATCTCATGGTAAGAAGTAAGCACTCTACCGGGTTTGGGTTGGTTTCTCGGAAAGGAAGGATGAACAACGACAACACCAATCACAATATTATACATAATGAAATGAGTAGATTTATCATTTCATAAGAAAAAAATCGAAAAATATATAAATTCAGGAAAACTTGGCTTATTAGGCAAATTGGGCCTTACACAGTAGGCCGAGTACGACGTTCTGGCAACTAGGTACAACACACACACACACACATATATTATATATATATATATATATATATATATATATATATATATATATATATATATATATATATATATATATATATATATATATATATATATACATATATATATATATATATATATATATATATATATATATATATATATATATATATATATATATATATATATATCGTACCTAGTAGCCAGAACACACTTCTCGGCCTACTATGCAAGGCCCGATTTGCCTAATAGGCCGAGTGATTTTCTTTGTTTTCAATAAGTTGTTTCCTGTTGGTTTATTTTAATTATTTTTATTATATTAAGAACATAAATTATTCATTTAGTTATGTTAGTTTAGGTTAGGTTAAGTTTGGTTAGGTTAGGTTAGGTTGGGTTCAGTCTTATATCTCAGTTAGTTGTAACTCAAATTGAGAAAAATTAACTCATACATAATGAAATGGATACTTTATCATTTCAAAAGAAAAAATCTTGGGCATAGCATTTTATCAAATCACCTCATTCTTTGATTTTTAATCAAAATCACCATGAGGTGATTGTATCAAATCACCTCATGGGTTCGAGTCACTTCTGGGGTGTGAGTTTTCAGTCGCATATAGTCCTGGTGACCATTCAGGCTTGTTCGCATTTGTGTTCCTCTCGTGTGCCCCAAAGAATGAGGTGATTTGATAAAATGCTATGCCCAAGATTACCATCCGAGTGCCGGCGGGGAAGTGGTTCATAGCTTCGGCTATCACTTCCTTATGTCCTAACGTGATGGTCAAGCGGATTAAGGCGTCCTGTAGATAACAGTTGCGTTGCTCCTGGCAGTATGGGTTCGAGTCACTTTTGGGGTGTGAGTTTTCAGTCGCATATAGTCCTGGGGACCATTCAGGCTTGTTTGCATTTGTGTTCCTCACGTGTGCCCCAAAGAATGATGTGATTTGATAAAATGCTATGCCCAAGATTACCATCCGAGTGCCGGCGGGGAAGTGGTTCATAGCTTCGGCTATCACTTCCTTATGTCCTAACGTGATGGTCAAGCGGATTAAGGCGTCCTGTAGATACCAGTTGCGTTGCTCCTGGCAGTATGGGTTCGAGTCACTTCTGGGGTGTGTATTTTCAGTTACTTATGTTTATGTGTATTTTATGTAAGGATCGGAACAAAAGCAAATCCTTCTCATTCTCCAGAGTGTATTATTAAGGTCTGAGCACATAGTTAGGACGAAACTTGCATATGAACGACTAATATGGTAGCTACCCAGGATCCACTCCTCTTAATCTTCTTGACCTGACAATGTCACGTACCTCCATTCCCACCTGCTGTTGTTCCCGAGTGGATGTCTTCTAAGGAATTTTGATCAGCTGTCCTTTCTGTCGTCCAGGGACTTTGAGAACTGGAGTTGTTATTTAAAGGGTATTCATCCGGATCCTTTCCTCGTAACTCCCTCCATACCCAGAAGAGAGTGGCTATTGACACTTCTTAGATTCATCCATTTACTCAAATCTAATTTTAAATCAATATTGTGATCCTTTTTTTCCAACTATGGTCTGCACTATTACTATTACAGCACTATTACTACAGCCATATTACAGCATCAGAGGTTATAAGCAAATGCTGTAGTATTAGTGCAATAGGAAATCATAACAGGTTATATGTTAATACCTTATAATCTTAGATAATCATGTTTATGTAAAAGAAACAATTAGAAGACATGAATGAAAGCGTTTTAACCAATCTCGATCTTTATTAGCAACAAAACATTAATGAACTTCTTGTTGACTATATAAACCCAATAAAAAGTTTATATCTATTTGTTACATGTTTTCCAAAGTATTTACGAGATGTCACTTAGACAACGCTCCTCCCCCTTTACCTTCACCTCCACACACGTTAGCAATGATCACCCCAGAGAAAGACTAATCTTGTTTATTTTTGCTTCCGCCACTACCGAACATCTTAGCAGTCACAACTATAAGGATCCGGCGTAGGATGAAGAGGAGAAGGAAGAGAGCCAGGAGGAGGAGGAGCAGGACGTCGAGCATGAGGAACTCCACCCAGGAGAGCTGTGCCGCCGGGGACCTCAGCTGGGGCGCCCCATGGTGGCGGATGACGTACTCCGTCCAGAACACTGCCCGGTCCCTGGGCGACATCGGCTGGTCCCTCATCGCCGCTGACATCCTCATCACGTTTTCTTTATACCTGACCACCAGGGATGTGAAAAGAAGTGTACTTTCTGAAATTATTGTTTTGCAGGAATATTTAAGGACGAGATTACACCATCGGGTAATCTAAATTATGTCAAACTGACGAGTTACAGATTTTAGTAACGAAAAAATGGTGCATTGCTCCTACTGACTTTCTCAATAAAATGGTTCTAATACACTAAAAAAAATACATGTAAGATCTAGAAATATGATAATAAAATCAAAACAAATCATTTTCTCTAGAAATCCATCTATCTCTGGAATGAAATAAATACATAAGAATAAGGAAAACTGAAATCCTGGTGAACCATACGAGCCAGTGCCAATGTTCCCGATATATTGTTATGGTCGTGTGACTACGAGGTAGCCACACTCCTGCGTGTTCCTGACCATAATAGTATGATCGTGTGACCACTAGGTAGCCCCACTCATGCGTGTGACTGTCATATACTTGGTAGCTTTTCCTGACAACTCCCACTAATATCCTCTTTTAGTAGACTACTTCCTGCATTTGTACGTTTTAATAACGTTCCATTATTATTTATGAGCATTAACTCAGTCGTCGTTCTCTGAGTGATTTAAAAACCATGTTCTATCCAGAGCACTGTAACCAGACCTGTACAAGTGAGGTGTAACTAGAGGAGAAATATGAATAACATATTTAAAGTCCTATAATGTAACCATAGATTGATTGTTAATTTAAGGCTTGGACAATGTTCAGTAGGTTTTTAGTCACCCTGCTTTACGTTGTTGTTTATATCTTAGATATAAGATTTAAACCTTATTTAATTGGATTCGTACATTTAATTGTTTTCTTAGTTTCTGACCTTTCACTTAGTTTCTTTCTTTAATGTTTTGCTGATATCAGCAGCTATTATATTTCCAAAACTTAGAACTCAAAATTTATTGACATTAAATTATTTAAGTAGAGGTGTAGTGTCCAACCTGTCATTTAAAATATTATAGTACTATTCGTACTATGGATGGAAGTGCAAAATAAGACTATTGCACCCTCAACAAAAATTCACATTTTGTATTATTAATTCTGTTAATGGCATAATAAAAAATGCAATAACCACGTCAAGTTTGTCCTAGGTCAATTAGAGTATATAAATATACTAAATTAGGTCTAAGATTGCTTATGTTAAGCCGATGATTGTTAATTTAAGACTTGGACAATGACGAGTAGGTTTTTAGTCACTCTGATTTACGTTGTTGTGAATTTACAATTCTATTTGTACGAAACGAACTATTTTTCTTTGCAAGTCCATATTTTGCACATTCCATCCATAATTGAAATAGGTTTATAATGTGGTATTTTTAACTTTCTGACACCTTAAGGTAGAGATCTGACTACTAACATAACAAACAAACCAGTGGCCTCAAGGATACTGTTGCTATCTTTGTGGGGTAGTGGACTATATTTTCTGTGTTCCCTAGGTAGTTCAGTTTCAGGGTGATCCAACAGGAATGATGCTGCTTTCATTTACCTATCGGATGAAAATCACGACTTTACCACTTGGTAAAACAATAACGATATGTATAATGCAGCTAGCACTGATACGGTTACAAATTATTTTAGCCTATCCTTTTGATCTTGTATCTTGCCACATACATTGTAAACAATGACAAGTTTATTTAATTCTTTATTGCTATGAATTTATCTATCCCAAATGTATATGCTCACACCTTATAAGCCCACACCTAAAATACTTCAAATAGAGTGTTGTACTTTTTATACACATCTATATTTAGTTTACACTACCATATAAGAGTCCACAGTTCTAAACCGGCTGCAAATATGCAGCTTGTACATCGTGGAGTGTTGTTGTTGTAGTTGTTGATTTAGGGGCGACGATGATCGTGGGATACCTGTATAAGATTAATTGCAAAACCAAATGACAGGTAGTGTTACGGTGTCGTCTCCAATATCTTCCCTTATCCCGCAGGAAGAGTCATATCACTACATCCTGGAGATTTCCAGAAGTACAGAGTCGTTTGAAATAGGCGACGCCTAGCATGAATACCTATTTGGGAAGAAAAGGCGGAAATGGAAATATCCTTACAAGGGGGGACTTACACACTCATTACCTACAAGATGGAGACGAGCCGATCAAATGTGTGCCAAAATGTGACGGCGCCAGCCGTCTGGTTATTGACTGAGAACTTCAGGAGTTCCGGAGGTGGAGAGACGGGAGGGAACTCTCCCAAGACCTACCTCTCCAGTGGAGTGAACTGGGGGTTCAATAGACCAAGCGAAACGGTGAAGAGACCCCCAAGAAGGGAATTTTGGATCTAATTCCGGAGCAGGAAGTGCGGCCAGGAAGACGATGATGGGGAGCAAGTAATTATCAAAGAAAGCATCAAGCACGATGATGGGGAGTCCAAGGAGGATCCCGGGTGTGGGGAATTTTTACCCACCAAATCTAATAATCATCTAAGAAATGTATAATGTCTATATCATTTCTATATCATATCAAAATCATATCTAAACCGCATCAAAATCATATTAGAATTATTATAGATTCATTATATAGCTTGATCCTAGATGACAATGTCACTATGAACACATACGCGACAGGGCCCTATTGATGCCTACGTGAACTTGTACATGATCTCTCAAGGATCCAGAAGCTTCTAGAAGGATTTCTTAATTAAAAAACTATTGGATCATTGATCGCTTCCGGTAGAGATTAAAAATCGAATCCTTAATAAGAATCAGTGGTGCTATCAAGTACTACTAATAATCTTTATATCCTATATCTAATTATATTCTAATCACATCTTATCTCAATCATAAGTCTAGACTGTAAAAATAATCAATCAATATTCATTGAAAGCTACCTCTCAAGGGAGAGGGAGGAGCATCTCGGGAGCAAGAAGCGCCCACGACGATACCTCGCGGCACTTCGTGTTTGTTTACAACTGAGTGAACAAGTGACGGATCCTTAGCAAACATTACCAGCTCAAGGACACCTTATCTAATATCTTTATCGCCAGTGAACACTCTCTAGAACTGGGGGAGTACCTGGACAATATCTACAAGGAAAATCCTAGAACATTTATATAAAATAAGAGTGTATAGTGGAGATCACAGTGACGCGGTTTCCACCACCTTCATTCCTATTCTTTATCAACTATCATTCTTCTGCAACTGCAGGGACAATCACGTAGCAACGCTACCAGATCATCAAACAGCAACGCTGTGACAAAATATCGTGCCCAAACTCAACAAGAGAGAGTTAATCAGTCTGGCACCTTGTCTGACAAGGCACCCCGACTGGCAGAGAAGTATATTGAAGGTTATTTGGTATATGATTGGCCAATTGTATGCTTGTGTGACTTTAATATCCTATAAATCTGTCTGTTGGTTAAAAAGCGAGGCAACGCCTCATTTTTCAGTACGTTTATTAAAAATTGTAGTATAGCTGTGAATCTTTATCCAAGCACTACACCTCATGAGTGTCCATTGTGTCAGAAAAGAATTCAGCCGCAATAAGTAAAGAACCTCATAAGTGTCCATAGTGTTGGAAGAGATTCAGTCAAGCTAACTGTACCTATTCATAAATTGAATAAATACATTGCATATATACTTGAATATATAAATTAAGTTAATAATTGCTTGCTTAGTTATTTTTTAAGTTATCATATAAGTTCATTTAATTGAATGATTTCTAGTACTTAGTTAACAGTATTTAGACTACATTTAAAGTCATTTATTATACTTTTACAATTTAATTTGTTGTTTATAGTATAAGTACATATTGGCTGTTAATAGTTAAGGTGCTAGGTTAGACTATGTATGTTTAAATCCCTGATTTAAACAGAGCCAGTGTTCAGTCATATAACTGAATTTATTAAATCTTATCCTTGTATAAAATACAAGCTGATGTGAGATCCCTGTCTACAGGTGGACTGGAACTTCTATCAACTAAGTCATTCACCCCACCTGTCCCTTACAGCCCACAATCTGTCATTAGGAAAAGAGGAGCTAGGATTTACAACCCTAGCTAGAGATTTTAATTGAATTAATTTGCAGACAGTAAACTTTTAATTTAGTTCAGTACAAGTCCCTGGTAGTCTCCTCTTATATCAATCCCAGCAGGTTTTTCCCACACCGGGTACAGCGTCTTCCAGTGGAGTGGCCAAGGTGACTGGTGGCAAATCGCCTAGGAGAGGTGGCAGATGTTATAATTGCGGAGGGCATAGACACTATATGCGAGAGTGTGGCCGCCCCAAGCAACGTGGTAACGTGGTTTTGGTCAGGGTGGAAAGCGAAGGAGTCAAGGACACCTTAATGAAGACTCCAGTGACAAGAGAAAAGAGGATCGATCCCTTTGTGTGCGAGGGAACTGTGAGAGTAGGTGAAGCAAACACAGTCCCAATGAGGATGTTGAGGGATACTGGGGCCGATTTTACTTTAGTCAGTGAGACAATATTCCCTGTGGTACACGAGAGCTCCAGTGTGGGAGTTGCCAAGATAGGAAGGTTGGGGGGCCCAGTGAGGATGCCCCTCCACGAAGTTACGTTAAATTCCGACTACGGTTACCAGATCCTGGTAGTAGGGGTCTGTGCTAAGCTTCCTGGGATGGAGGCCCAGGTACTATTTGGAAATGACTCCTGTGGGGGGGGATGTGTTCTCCTAAACCTCATCAAGGGCGAGGAGTGTGTGAAGCCATATAGAAGAAGCTGCACCACAGACAATGAAAATGATGCAAGAGAAACCGTGAAGGTGGCATTTCTGGTATGCGCGGTGACGTCAGGATGGGGCGTCGAGGACAATGTGAACAGGTCTGGTCATGCCAGATAACCTTGGACTCGATCATCTGTTGGAGGAGGAGACCGGAGGACAAGTGTTAGGTGAAGAAGGTCCGGATAGACCGATCCAGGTTATTCTCACGAGTCTTCTCGGAGTTGATCACGTCCGTCAATGTGAGCTGCAGCGGGAGGAGTTTCCCGAGTTGGTGCTGGAGGCCGAAGGATATCTCGCCAGAC